GATTAAGACACAACTGAATACCGTCGGTCAGTGAACCGATGACGCCCCACGGAGCCTGCAGGGAATAGCGGAATCCCTAGGGATCGTGTAAACTGGATGCCTAGGACGAGTGTGTTGATACCTAAATTTTGGCTATTCATTTAGAGTTTAATTGCGTAGAAAATTAGGAATTAATTTTTAACCCCTAAACCAAAAATATTTTATTTAAATTGCATGACATATAGACATTAGGCGCATTTGCATTAATAGGGCCTATTAGGACATATTCGTAAAAATAAAAAAAAAGATCGGTCGGGCAAATTTGGTCCGGCCCGACAGGGTCGGCCCCACTTTTATTATTATTATTATTTTAGCTATTTGGGTCCATCCTTTTTGTTTTTTCTTTCTTCTTGGGTTTTGCTTGCCTCGATGGCCCACTTTTGGCTTATTTTTGGCCCGACAACTTCGGCCCAATCTGGTCTTCTCTCCAGCCACTTGGCCCAGCCCCTTCAGCCCTTTCTTCTTCCCCTCACGTTCGGCCAGGATGAAGACGAAACGACAAAGCCGAAGTTTGCTCTGCACGAGGAGATCGATGGCCGCAATTCCAGAAGGGGGAAGCAATGGCGCAGCGCTGCATCCTGGCGGCACAAGGACCCAAGAGATCCTGCAGCCGTTTTAGCAAGGAAACGGGCTTGATTCAGTCCCCAAGGAGAGGACCGGCTGCTGGCATAAACACAAATAGGGAAAGCGCACTGATCAATGGGGTCTTTGAGCTGGAAATGGAAGGAGAAGGTGGCTGGCATGGTTGACCAGCAAGGACTGTTTGAAGGTGGAGACAGAAAAAAGGAACGGATGCAAATCTTAAAAGGTCGCTCGGCCCCGTCAACCGAGGCAAACATTTGTTTGACACCCAATGAGGAGGGTCTAATCGTTATATGTCGAAATTAGACCGCAAACTCTGCCAAAATCGGATCTGTGGCTCCATTTTCGGTTTGCACCACACTTGTTTGATCAAATGTCCAAACCAAACTGTTTAAGCTCTTTAGTGTCGAATCCGGTGGTGTTGTTTTTTAGCATTTCGTTGCCAACTGAGACGGAGCTAGAGTGTAACACGACGGTCTAGATCTTCACATATCACGATAGGGTCAAAAAATGCGTTAGATGTCAGCTTAGAATACATATCTCAACTTGCACGTTACATGCTCGGTGAAACGCCCAAACCAAGTTTCAAGTCTGTTCTTGATCCTTGAAGCTTTGTTATGTTCGTGGTTCGTTTTAACGTCATTACTGCCTTCGAGTTTTGCTGCCTTTCATGTGATTTCGGGTGAGTATTAACGTTATCCGGGTCGGCCGCGTGTGCGTTTCCCATTGTCGGAGGTGCCGTTCCTTTAACCGGTGAAGCCAGCAGTTCGAGGCCGCCTGAGTCAGTCCGTTCGTCCGCGTTCTGGTGTATACATGCTTGTTTATTCACTGATATGGTTGTATGGGTTTGGGTAGTAAATTTTCTTGTGGCCGTGAGTGGGTGTTCGGAGGATGAATTTTGGCCGCCGATGACGTCCTGTGGTCGGAGTTTCGTCGGTTCAGAGAATGTGGCGGCCGACGGTGAAGGTTTGGAGCCCGGTGTCGGTCGTCGGCGTTCGCGGCGCGCGTCGTCAGTCGGGGACCGAGCAGCGTGCACGGCGTGGCGTGTCGAAGAGCTCTCGGTGAAGAGCAGCAGAGGACGTGCATGGAAAAGCACGTAGGGGATGAAGAAAAGCAAAAAAAAAATAGAAAAGAAAAAGAAACAAAAGAAAAAAGGAAAAAAAAAAGGGAAAATAGAAAATAATAAAAAATGTGGAAATGGGGTCCCAGGCAGAGAGAGTCGGGTCAGGCGTCGGGCGGATCGGGTCAGGAGATCCGGTCCGGAATCTTATTTTATTAATTTAAAATATTAAAATATTAAAAATTCCAAAAAAATTCCAAAAAAATTCGAAAATGTTTAAAAATCCAAAATATATTAAAAATTCTGAAAAACATTAAAAAAATTCATAAAATTCATAAAATTTTAAAAAATTAATTAAAAAAATTTCGAAAATCAAAAAATATTATTTGGGCTTTGGAATTGATTTTTCTTGCCACTTTTTATGTGATTAGTGTCATGTTTGACTGCACGTTACTTGATTCACGCACTTTGGATTGCGCGTTTAATTTAACATCACATGTGGTCGATTATGCATGTTAGGTTTATGTATTGATTGTTGCTTTTCTTAGCTTGGTTAGGAATGGAATTTGAGACCCCCAATTAGTGAGAACACGTTTGGCGGTAATTGATTAAGGTTAGGTACCGAAATGGCACTAGTTGGTCAATTAGTGTAATCAAGTCCCCGTACCCATTGAGTCTCTAGTTCATAGAAGTGAAGCATTTCTCCCATGCTTTACTTGGGTGTATAATCGACCTACCAAAAATTGATTAGTGACGACTCCTAGATGAAATTGATTTGCATGTTAACAACTTAAACCTTAAGTCGCAAGTTGGTATGGGCTTGGGAGAGCTCGAGCTAGGTTCAACTTAGTAATCCATTAACCAAACTCCTTAGATGGTGGGGCCGATTTGGGGAGGTCGCGACAAAGTGTACCCTAGATGCCCCGGGAGTGTGATCGGGATGCCAGGCCGATGAGAATACCGGTGCACACCGCGGCAGATCGAAAAGCGCACTGAAACCTGCTAGACAGGAAATATTCCTCCTTACGTGACTTGCGAGTTCACCGTGCATGTGTCTTGGAGTTAATACAAGTACCAGTGTAAAAGTTAAATTGTGTGTTCGTATGATTCGTATGATTGTCTGTTGCCATTAACCTTTAAATCTTTATACCTTAGAGTTAGTGATAGAATGAGTGAGACATGTATGTTATAGTAGGCTTCGTATGCTATAATAGATACCTGTCATGAAGGGAAATGTGCCAAAAAAGTCATAAACCTTTTACATTTGTACCAATTTAGTCTTAAACCTTTTTTTGTTGCTAATTCAGTCATAAACCTTTTGCATTTGTGCCAATTTAGTCCTAAACCTTTTTTTGGTGCCAATTCAGTCCTAAATATTTTACATTTGTGTCAATTCAGTCCTAAACTTTTTTGTCTTTGTGTCAATTCAGTCCTTCCGGCCAATTTTAGCTAGATTTTGCTAACATGGATGCCGGGCGGTCACCAGTGCTAACGTAGATAACTTTTAATAATATTTTAATAATTTTTTGAATTTTTATTTATTCTTTTTTTCTTTTTTCCCTCTCTCCTTCCTCCAGCCGGTCGCCGGGACAGCGACCGGCTGGAGGAAAGAGGGAGGGGAGGAAAAAATAAAATAAAAAAATTCAAAAAAATATTAAAATATTATTAAAAGTTGTCCACGTCAGCGTCAGTGACCGGCCGCCAGTCGGCCGGTGTCCGCGTCAGCAAAATCCAGCCAAAATTAACCTGAAGAACTGAATTGGCACAAAGATAAAAAGGTTTAGGACTGAATTGGCATCAATGCAAAATGTTTAGGACTGAATTGGTATCAAAAAAAGATTTAGGACTAAATTGGCACCAATGCAAAAGGTTTAGGACTGAATTGGCACAAAAAATAGTTTAGAACTAAATCGGCACAAATACAAAAGGTTGAGGACTTTTTTGGCACTTTTCTCCTGTCATGAATGATCCTATTTGATTTGCTTGATGGAATGTTTGTGTAGTATAGTGTGATAGATATTTTTCCTTGCTAGGCTATCGCTCATTCTTGTGGTTGCTACAAATTTTACATATCGATAAGTATGAGTAACCCTCCGCCTGCGACCCTATCACTCTTTTTGGTGCCCTCGATGAGTTCGTGGGCCGCCTTACTACTTTCACCTATCCCGATTTTCCATTGATCAAGCTGGTCCATTATGATGCAACTCTTTGGGTGGACGTTGGCCTGCCGGGGCATCGGACACCCATCCACCTCGTCTCAGTCTTCCTGGACGTGGGAGGAAACTTGGTGGGGCCCATCCGTTACTAGGTGAACGGCGGCGGTGGCGATGGTGCTGACGGCGGAGTGGTCATGGTGGAGTAGGTCGGCTAGGAAGTCGGCTTAGGAGTATCATTTTTGGAAGACACGGCCAGCCACTTTTTGGAGATATTGTCGTGCGATAGGGTGATAACTTTTGACCGGGAGTAGATGGTGGGACGGTGTAGATAGACCAGATAGGGAGTAGCTCCTGTTGACAGCCTCCCAAGTGTATACTCCCTGTATATCACCCATGTTTTATAAATAACAAAAGACAAGTTTCAAAATTAAGCGTTGTCCTTTACATTGCCACGTTCATCCGTCACTTTGGCTGTTTGCTTATTTTTAGTTTCGTAGTAATTGAAGAAATAGAATAACAGGTAATGAACTAATTAGGCGCTCTAGAACATCTTAAATTCAGAAGGTCGTATCTGATGAAATATGGTCTCATTATGGTTTGTAGGGAATGAGGTTATTCTTGATCAGTCTTAAATAGGGGTGTTTCTTATGTTTAATTCATGTTATAAATGTCGACCTTAAAAAGGATCAACTTCCGCTTGTGCTAAATTATGAGTATATAAGATCGTTGGTGATCGCATTTAGTAAAGGAGCTTGCTTGGGACACTACATTTAGTACCCAGGCGAAATCTTCGACGTTCATATGGTTTTAGGCCCCGTTTGGTTCAGCTTTGGGAAGGGGGTTTCGGCCTCGAAAGCCCCTTCCCAAAATGCTGAACCGTTTGGCAATTGCTTTTAAGATACCGAAAGCCCAAAGCTTGCATTTGGGATGCTGAAAGCCCAAAGCAGGTGGGGAGGTGCTTTGGGCTTTTCAGCATTTTCGGGATGCAACTTCCACCATTTAATGAATTTTTGTCAGTTGCCTATTTTGCCCTCAAAATTTGTTGAAAGTCCAATTTTGCCCATTTTAAAAAACAAAACCCAGCAGTCTCTAGCATTATGATTCTTCGCTCTCCCATTCGCCTTTTGTCACTCTCAATTGTTGACTCACTCTCGCGCGGAACTGCTCGCCTCTCTCGCTCGCTTTGGTTGCTTCACTTTCCTTCGGACGGATCGCTCGCTTTGGTTGCTTCACTCTCCTTCAGACGGATCACTCGCTCGTTCGCTTCGGTGGTTCGCTTCGCTCGTTCCCTCGCACAACTACAGGTTCGTCTCTCTCTCTCTCTCCCCGGTGGATGTGCTTTTGATTGATTAGATCTGCGCATTTTGTGGCCACCCTTGAGGTTTTATCCTTTCTTCCATGGTGAAATCACCATGGAATTTGTGCATTTCGTGATTTTTGTGCTTGTATAGTCTTAAATATGTTTTTAGGGTTTTCCGTTTTGTTTTGCGTAAGAGGTAATTTGAGGCAATGGATTACGGAAATTTTTTCCTCTGTTCTTAAGTGGGGAACAATTGGGCTCTGGGCTCCATATGTTTTACGGAAATTTTTGCATTTTGTTGTTCCTTTGTTTTGCCTAAGAGGTAACTTGTTGCGGCATTTTGGTGCTTGTATAGTCCTTTTCATCAGTCGGTTCTTGGTGGACCAAGAACAACTTCCCTTTGACATTCCCTCTGAAGGTCGAAGAAGCCACCTCCGACTCAGCTTTTTAGCGGATGGTGGTCCTTCCTACGTGGTAAAAGGGGCTGGGCAGTACTCACCAGCGGTGGCCTTATCCTTGATAAAGCCCAATTATGATTCGGAGGATGAGATGAAGACTACGAGACATAGACATAGGCTTCTTACATTCTGCCATTTCGTGTTTTTATCTGACAATCCTATCAAGTCTAATATCATTTTGTCTTCCTAGCTCTAAAACCTTTGGCTGAACACGCAACCCAAGTCCAAAAATTGTTCTAGCTTTCTTTCTTTTTTTTTCTTTTAGGATCTGGTTGTAAGATTTGACCGTTCCGTAATCCATTGTTGTTCTATTTGGAAGAAGTTGCAGAATTCCTCTATTCTAATTGCGAACTTGTTGCTACCCAAATTTTTTCCTCTGTTCTTTTTTGCTTTTTGTGAATTGATCCAGGTTTTTGTTTTCAATCTCCATGATGACTCGGCTCTCTGAAGAGAGCATGGGCCTTACCCAGAACAGAGCATGCACTTGGGGGTATATCTAGTGGATGTATAGTGGCTTGTTTCTCGCATTTCCTAGATTAGGGTAGTTATGTTGTACCACCCAGATTTTGTCACGCCCCGTACCCCACGAAGCGAGAGCATCCCACCTTCGGTCGATAAATTGCGACGTCCCAGGAATAGTCGCCGACCCACGCCCATACAGAGATCAAGCACAAGCGGAAGTATAAAATAAACAAACCCAGACAATTACAATATGAGCCAAGGATAGCCGTCCAATAAACAAGATTCAACGCAGAAAATATGTACATACTTATAATACTATTTTAAAACTCTTTTTACAGTGTTCACGACAACCAAAAAGGAAACACCAACAGCTGGGAATAACCTAAAACAGTCACTTCTCCGTTCGCTCCATTCCCACCGAGGTGCATGCTCGACTATTCGCTGGATAAAATGCGATATTCCCAAAAAGAGGTGGTGACCTCGGCATCCTACTGCTGGGGGTCTGAAATGTTTCGGTTTACACAACCGTGAGACGAATCTCAATGAGTTCAACCCCTAAACCTAGGCTAGACTAGCATGCAATCTCCTGACCGAAAACAAACATTTAAAATCATAACACAACCATAATCATACAATTCTCTGACCCTGCAGGTTAGATAGTTCAATATGTAATAATCACGGGACATACGTGGCACACATTATCACACGTACGCCAATCACATGCTCATACACCGAGTCTCACACACTCGCATGCCATTCAATGCATGTTTATGCATGCAAATGTCATTGACATGTCATGCACATTTCTTTGGCCCACTGGCCCACACTGGCACACTTGCCCAATTAATTATTATTACGACTCGAGTCATCAATTTTTCACGGCCCGGTGCGTCTAGCACCTTCCAAAGTGCATGAGGCGCGAGCATCCGATCTGGCCCAGTGTCTCTAGCCTGCTTCAAAGTGCATGAGGCGCAACACTGTTCTCCTTGCGAACCAGAGCCTGCTTCAAAGTGCATGAGGATGGTCGCCTTCCGGACGTACCGGGCATCGTCCTGCTTCAAAGTGCATGAGGACGGTATCGACCCGAAGGTCCTTAGGTGATCACACAGCTCATTATTATCTGAACCCAGCGTATAACGCTTCAGGGTATTTTAGGTGATCACATGCTCATGGCAGACACGCATTCTCGCACAATTTTCATCACATGCCTCACTCTTGGCATACGCAATGCGTGTCCATGTTATGCAATGCAATGAACCACGAGCACCAATATAATTCAGACAACCCGGGCATACCCGGCAATTTCACCGATGAACTCCTAAATTGGTCATTAACCCCTATTATCCTCCCCAACGATTCTCATTAATCCACTAAATTTTTCCGATAATAATTTCTACCAATCAATTCTCAACCCAGTCTCAATTACACACTGCTATTATCTAAGCCAGTCCAAAATGCACCGATAACACCTAAACCAGTCCAGAAAAACGCAACATCAGTCCTAATCCGGGTTTAGGAATTTTACTCACCAAAACAAAGGTCACGACGACGGGGAATGGCGGCCGATCACTGATGAACAGTGAAACCGGCGGCGGAATTCCCGGCGGACGGCGGCGCGGTGCACGGACGGGTGAACAGTGATTCCGTACGGACGCGTGAACAGTACCGCCCGTACGAACACACTGTACGGACGGCTGGGAACGGTGGCCGGCGAGGCGCCGGTCACGGCGGCGACGGCCGTACGGGTCTGGATGAACAGTGACCGTACGGCGCGTGAATGATAAATTGTACGGTCTGTACGGACCGGGCTGAACGGCGACGTATGGACATCTTTGAGCAGTAGGGTGTCGACGGAATGGCGATCGGAGCTCCGTGAAGCTCCGTGATCTTGTTTGTAAAACGGAAAAATGAGAAAAGAGGGAAAAAGGAGAGAGAGAGCTGTTTTTGGTCTATACCAGGGTTTGTGGTGGCTGCGCGAGAGGTGGAACTAGTTGCTGGTGGTTACGGCTCGGCGGGGACGGCAGGAGGTGTCTTGTTCCGGCGTGAACAGTACGGAACTTGCGAGAAAGTGCACGGCAAAACCGAAAAGGAAGAAAAGGGAGAAGAATTTGGGGGAAATGGGGAAGCTCTCGGCAGAATGGCTGGAGGAGAGAGAGAGGGTATGGTCAAATGGGTCAAAGATAGTCTTAGTGGAGTCCAAGTGTCATTATCCAAGCCCATTTGACAATTTTACCCTTGATCTAATGGACTAGATTTGATCAAATCCAATAATTTAGGGGTGAAATGGTCTTTTGCCCCTAACCATGGTTGACCAGACCTGGTTTAACCTTAACTCACCTTGGTTAATCCCAAAATTAAATCCAATTTTCGGAATTAATCAAAAATGGCCTAGGGGCATTTTCGTAATTTTCCAATCCCGAACCGAAATTCCAATTTTCGCACATACGCGTTCCATATATGCGTGGCCAACATAATATGGCGTCGGAATCGCGAAATTCATCGCGCAAGCCCTCGAAAATCCACGTCAAAGTTTCGGGAATAAAATAATATTATTTTTCCAATTTTTGTCGAAATTCCAGTTTTTGTCCAAAATGACTCCTGGTAAGCGTGGCCACCCAAAAAATGGCATCGGCCACGAAAAATAACCTCATTTGGCCTCGAAAAGCGACGCTGGCATCCCGGGGGCAAAATCGTAATTTTTCACCCCCGGACCGAAATTCCAATTTTTACTCGTACTAACTCCACATGTGAGTGGCCAGCGTAATATGACGTCAGATTCCCAAAAATAGTCTCTTAAGCCTTTGAAAATCGATACCGAAATCCGGGCCCAATTCCGTGAACAAAACCCGCTAAACTTTCAATTTCAGAGTCTCTCACTAACGGGCGGCAGTTTAGAGATTACGCGTATCGACCTAGGGCTATTCGTATCGTGATGGTCTCGATCATTGAGAGAATGAGAAATTATCATTAGTTCCAGAGGTCACAATCATTAGGTTCAAGTTCCGGACTGGTTGACCACGTGCACTTTTGGTCTTGCAGAATCACCTGCGTCCCAATCGTACATCGTTGGCCTTGGCCAAACCAAATCCATTACTTTTCCTAAGATCGGTTCACGTTGGCCCAAAATATTTCCTCAGAGTCTCTCGTGATCGGTATCCCTTTCGCGATAGGGTTCCCGGTCCACGTACCATCTTCTAGTTAGCCATACCCTATTGGTTAGTATCCCGAGAGTGATCAGCTCTGGGTGAGACTTACTAAAATGAAATGCGAAATAATATCAGTTTCATTGATCCCGGAAATTACATCGAAATTCGGGCTGTTACAGATTTTGTCTTCTATTTCTTTTGCTAATTGATCCAGGTTTTTATTATCAAAGTTCATAATGACTCGACTCTCATAACACAGCATGTTGGGTTGTACTCATAATAGAGCAAATTCAATACGTGTAAATTTGTCGAAAAGTATGATTGTTTTTTTTTTTTGTGATTTACAGTTGCATTCATTACAGTTGGATTCATAGCGGGAGTAATCCTTTGAGTATGAATAACACAGCATGTTGCCTTTTTTTTGTTCAATTGGTTATGTTATTCACTAATTATGTTCAATTGGTTATGTAATGAACATATGTGAGTTGATTGGTTATCTGTGTGTTAAGAAATGCATGTCTTCATTCGAATTTGTTCATGGTTAATCTTGTTTGTTTTTGCTTCCCAAATTTGTTCATGTTACTATACTAGTAGATGGCAAGTTCATCGAAGGAAAAGGCATTTTGGAGCTCGGAAGATGTAGAAACCTTTTGTAAGTTGTGCATTGAACAAATTGAAAAAGGCAATCGTCCTGCAAGCAATAAAAGAGATGGATGGGTAGTCATAATTAGCAAGTTTGAGGAGCTAACAGGAAAAAAGTATGATAAGAATAAAATGAAGAGTAAGTGGGATAATCTCAAGGAAGAATGGAAAAGATGGAGGTCATTGCTTTATAATGAAACAGGACTAGGTTGGGATTCAAGGAAGAAAACCATTGATGCGAGTGACGAATGGTGGGAGAGTAAAATTCAGGTTTTCATCACTTCTTTTTTTAACTTTTGTGCTGGATCATCTTCAAGGATACAACTTACACAAATGCTTTATGATAACAGGTCAATCCAAAGTTTAAGGCTTTTAGGATGAAAGGCATACATCCTGATCTTGGAGAGAAGTTAGATATGATGTTTAGAGATACAGTTGCTACTGGAGGAGTCACGTGGAATCCTGGGCAAGGCTTATGTATTAATAATGATGTTGAGGTCACACAACCTGGTATGGATGATGTTGCAGGATCTACTGATGAAAATTTGGAGGGTCATGTAGATGAAACCATTGGTGAACCAATTGGAGCTCAAAGCCGGAAAAGAGCCGCTCAAACTTCAACAAGGCAAGCTCGAGGAAAAAAAGATAAGAAATTGAGCACAAGAGAAGAGCTTGGGACGCAAATTAACAGGCTAGTTGCAGCTGTTGAAAGTAGGAGCAATGCCACTGCCACATCTCAAGCAACCACCAATGTAGTCGGTCCTTACAAGGACCTCATAGATATATTGGATACCATACCTGAGATTGTGGAAGACGAAATGTTGTACCATTTTGCAATCTCTCATTTGAAGGAAAAGATAGACAATAGACAAGTTTTTATGAGCTTAAAGGATGATGCAAAAAAAGTCAAGTATCTCAAGTATGAGTTTGGAAAAGAGTCACGTCTTCATAGATAGGATGTTAGCATCTTATTGTTTTCTTGTTTGAAGGGAGTCATGCTACTTTTATTCCTGTTTGAAGAGAGTGATGTTGCTTTGTTTCTGTTGATGGATCTTTATTTGCATTCCTGTGAACCCAATTTCTATTAATGTTTTAATGTAAGAATTGTTTCCAGTTGGTGTTCTCTTTATGTGATTAAGTTTGCATATATATGATGGTTATTACATTGTTTGATGATCAAGCTTATTCATTATTTCTCTTACAACCTTTATATTTTGTTATTTGAAACAGTTATGGATGATTCACATGCAAGGGAAAATCGTGAACAAGAGGAAAATGACTATTGGGATCTTGTGTCAATCACAGGAGTTGCAATTTTTTATCAAGCAACATACCTTTGCATACAACCTTGCATGACCTCAACTTATACAGGTTATGCATGGTTAAAAGAGTTGATGGGCGAAGATGTGAATCCTATAAGGTGCTATAATATGTTTAGACTGCATAAGGTTGTATTTAATAATTTAACCCGTGACTTAGTAGCATGCTATGGTCTTGAAGGGTCTAGGAATACTGATGTTGCAGAAATGGTTGGTATGTTTCTTCATATTTTGGGACACGGTATAGGCAACAGGTTAGCACAAGAGCGCTTTCAGCGCTCCGGGGAAACCATAAGTAGGCACTTTAGCTTAGTTTTAGATAAAGTATGTGATATGGGAAAAGATTTGATCCAGCCAACCGATCGAGAATATAGGGAAGTTCCCGAGAAAATCAAGAAAGATCGACGATTTTTTCCATATTTTAAGGATTGCATTGGAGCTATTGATGGTACACATATCCCAGCGATGGTACCTACGTACGATCAAATTCGTTTTATTGGTCGAAAAGGAACGACGACTCAAAATGTGATAGCCATATGTAATTTTAATATGGAATTTGTCTATGTTTGGGCCGGTTGGGGGGGACAAGCTCATGATACACGTATCTTCTATGAAGCCATTGGAAGACCTGATACACATTTTCCCCATCCTCCTCCAGGTTCGTTATTTAATGGTTTAGTTACATCCATATATCTATGTGGCATATCTTGATTAGATTTGCAATATATTGGTGTAGGTAAATATTACTTGGTAGATGCTGGATATCCAAATCATATGGGTTATTTGGGGCCATATAAAGAAGTTAGATATCATTTACCAGAATTTCGAGAAGGTTCTTCGCCTACGGGTTATCGAGAAGTATTCAATCGTGCCCATTCCTCACTACGCTCAACAATTGAGCGAGCTTTTGGAGTATTAAAACAGAAGTGGGGCATTCTAACTCGTATGCCCAGTTATCCATATGAAAAGCAAGTGCAAATTGTCGTGGTGACAATGACTTTGCACAATTATATACGAAGAAATGCCGTGACTGATATGGATTTTGAACAAGCAGAATTGGATCCCGATTATGGATATTCAGTTGACCACGATGATTCAAGTGAGGGGGTTAGTGCCTCAAATAATAATGCATTTTCCGACATGACACATTTACGTGATGAAATAGCCATGAGCTTACAAAGTCGTTGAGGAGGTTTGTAATATTAAGGATAGCGTGCTTCTTTTTTGCGGACATATGTGATCATATTTATTATTGTGAAATGACAACCTCTCAAGAATGTTAGATACCCTCTTAAGAATTGGCGACAACCTACTAAACTACCTCCTTGGTGAAGGGATACCAGTAGCGCATGCCAAGAAAATCATTTGCAGACATGTTCTTTGCTTCCAAAGCCCCTTTGAGTTATAGAAAAAGTGCGACATAACATTCACACTAGCTATGTAAACTAAAGATATCATTTTAATGCAATATATATAGAAAGAAGAAAGTAGATAACATCTTTGAAATATATATTAGGCACATAAAAAGACTGAAAAATGTCAAGCCCAACTCAAAGTTACGGTCATTGTTTCTTTTTTTCAATTTTAAAAATATTAAAATTAAAAATTTAATTTGGTCACACCAAAGAGCTTTCTAAATTTATGTTTACCAAACAGTCTAGCATTTCCCCAAAGCACTTTTCAGTTACATTTTACCAAACAGTCTTGCATTTTCCCAAAGTCCTTTTAGTCCAAAGGTATTTGCATTCCCCCAATGGCATTCCCCAAATGCCGAACCAAACGGGGTCCTTAGGCATACTTTTGGGGTTTTAATCCCTTTGCCATTCATAGGGTTTTAGTCTTATTTAGGCGGAGACTTTGACGTTCATAGAATTTTTGTCCCTAGGCATAATCTTCGATGTTCATGGGTTTTAGTCCCTTGATGTCCTTTTCTAAAAAAATTCAAAAATCAAAAAATCAAAAAATGCTTGTATATATATAAATAAATCATGATCTCTCACTTTGGCCCACTGCACCGTCCCATATTTTTCTTGGGCAAAATGTAGGTGCCATTTTCATCTTCGAATGGAACTTCGTTGAATTCCACTTCGAAGAGGGGCAGCTTCAGATTTATATTGGCCTCCATAGCCACAACAAAGTCTGCAGTGGAAGGATTCAAATCCATTCTCTTGATTTTCTCCACAAACCTGTCAAATCGTTCTCGCGATATTAGTAAGCTTTTGTGATCATAATGGACTAACATCGAAATGCTTGATATAAACACTTTGAAGCTCAATATATCGATAGAAGTAAAAAGACTGTCATTCTTGAAATTGTCGCAATTCTTAGATCACGTCTAATGGCTGCAATTGCATTCGTTTTACCATGGAAAATTAGTAATTACATGCTTCTTTGTCGTTCAGGTTTCGATAATACGTCTATTAATTAAGTGAAAATAATTGCAACCGGATCAGCCTCAAAATGATCATTCAAATGTTGCTGTCAACTTATAGAGCACATTACTCCCAATCCACACTCAACATTGTCATCAAAATCAATGCTTGTTGCTGACTTGTTTCATAGTTCAGACTTCTGTGCATCTGTGAAAACTGTTTCCGCAGCAATTTGGTGGGAGCTCTTATGATTCATGTACTTCATTAGGAGTATGAAAGTAGGAAATGTGTTTGCCTCAGTGGCCTTTCATTGACGGTAGAGAATTGAAATGCCCGGTTGAAGGCCAATCTAAACCTGTTCTCAAAGTCAGCTGAATTTGTTTTCATCAAAAATGACCATCACATGGTATTTCTCAAACCATGGAGTGTGAATTGAACCCGCGCTCGAACTCGTACTGAGGTGCATGCATGTTTTTAGGACACGATCAAAACCTGGAATGAGATACGTTCAGCATTGCCCCATTACGGCTCCAATCAGAATACAAATGACCACTAGAGGTATATGGGGACACGGATGTTCACATGTTTCCCCTTTTTTCTGATAAATAAAGTGAAGATGAGAGTGAACAGAGAGAGAAGATGAGAGTGAACAGAGGTATAAGTGCGCTTATCAGTGGAAGCCCACTAGAACTCATGCGATGCTTTACTTACGGTACTCTGGTTCAGGTTTCTGCGCACTTACTACGACAAAAAACCATTAGAGTCAGTTACTGCTCGATCTTAGTTTCAGAACAATGTACTGTTTTTATATTATGGCGACCAGCCCAGAAAAGAAACAATTGCACCCTTAATCCTCAACTAAGCCATGACTTACAAGCTCTAGAAGCCACTGGAATATCATTAAATGCTCATAAACAAAGTCGAACTATGACTTTCTTTTCATTAGGATGCAGAGAAGTGGCAGCTTGGGACAAGAACAGTCTCTTATTACCGACAATCCGCAAACCATGCTCGGGAAAACAGAAAAAAAGGCACCAATGACATCAAATGGTCAAACCGCAGTAATGAGCTTATCGTTTATGCAGGAATGCTTATTTTATCCATTTTTGTGCAATGAAAGAGTGCAATGCAGCCAAGTTAATGTTAAGAACTTTGGTATTGGGTAACGAAGACGGGGGATATCGATAACTAGAGTATTTTCGGGATGAAGATGGATACGGATATAGTTCTCCTTTTGCAATCTAGATAACCAGTTCAATCTTTTTGAGATATCCGATTGTTGCAGAGAAATGGTCTTTACTTGATCACGCTGCATTGATGATGCTAGATAGTTAACCTTTTTTCACAAGAAAGCGAAGAAGAAACAGTACAAGGATGTAAAAGTTATCGAAGACCACTTCCATATCAGACGACGTGCCTTCTTCAAGCTGGAGGAGACGAAATCAAACAAATCTACCGAGTCGTCATAGTTGTTATGGAGCAGTTCATCCTTGGACTTGAGAAGGGGAAAAATAGATTCCACTTCTAAAAACTTGGTAATATGCAGGGTAACTTCCTCAATAAACTATATATCTCGACATAATTGCACCCTTAATCATTCAGTAAGTCATGTCTTATAAGGAAAGTGGAACTAAAAACCTTCTTTTCATTCGGCTGCTGAGAAGTGGCAGCTTGGGAAAAGAACAGGATATTATTTCCTACCTCCCACGAACCATGCTCGGGAAAAAGAAAAATCTACCCAAAGTATTATATGACAAATAAGAAAAATTGTATTAAATGATCAAATCATCATCGATGAGCATATCCTATCTGAAATACTAAGCTCATCAACTTTCGTGTGACAAAAGAGCGCATTTCTAGATATTTTCAGTCTTCTTTGAGGGGTGAAAGAGTCGTAAAAGAAACGAAGAAGAAATGGTACGCGGATTCAAAATTCATGAAAGACCATTTCTATATCAGGTGATATGAAACAAATCGCCAAGTCCTCGTAATCAAATCATCATCGATGAGCATATCCTATCTGAAATACTAAGCTCATCAACTTTCGTGTGACAAAAGAGCGCATTTCTAGATATTTTCAGTCTTCTTTGAGGGGTGAAAGAGTCGTAAAAGAAACGAAGAAGAAATGGTACGCGGATTCAAAATTCATGAAAGACCATTTCTATATCAGGTGATATGAAACAAATCGCCAAGTCCTCGTAGTTGTTATAGGGTGAGAAGGGGAAATTACATAAAACCTCTGAAGACTTGGTAATCTGCATGAAAACATGCTGACAAACTAAATACTGAGTCGAACATTTTCATCTATAAAGAGAGAGGATGTTGCCATGCAAGTCCTCACTCCTCCCTCAAGCAATACCCTTCTGTGCAAGGATTAGAACTTGCGATCAAGGCCCCAACTCCTGTCCCCAACCACAATGAAGTTTCTTCCCATTAGCTTTCTCATCTTGGCTTTGGCAACTGCCACTGCTTTGGCTGACGACCCGAGT